CATTCAAGCACACACACGCACCTATACATGAACAGATGTACACATGCACATACAAACTTGCACAGCAAGAACCTAATCTTGTACAGGTGTACACACACTTACATGCACATAAACACACACACACACACACACACACACACACACACACACACGGCTAGGAGGTCATTAGTGACCCGAGGAATGCAGAGGTCATATCTTAAAAGACCTGGCTGATAGAGGGGATATATAAGATCAAAGGAGGAAAGGAAAAAGGGAGGGAGAGATGGATGAGAGGAGAGGGAGGAAATATATGCGATCAAAAGAGAGAGGGCGGGAGGGAGGGATGATGGAAGGATGAGTTTGTGAATGAAAGTAGAGGCAAAGTGGGGAGGAAAGAAAGTAAAGGAAAATGTGCTAGAAGACAGGAATACATAGGAGGAAAGGGAGGACGGGGGAGAAAAAAAACGTTGAAGGCAAGGGAAGGATGGAGTGTGGAAACAATACAGATAATTCAGTTTGACAGGTGTGTGTATCTGGGTTTAAATTGTAGGTTTTCAGACTAAAAGTGAAAGCTTGTGCAGCGATGAGAGATTTATGAATGTTCAGTGTGTGTGTGTTGGAGAAAGTCAACAAATGCTTCCTGAACAAGGCAGGGTGCATTGAAAGGGGACATATCGTACAAAATCAGATTTTMTAGTCATTAAATACATTTTGTTGAGTAATTGGTGTCTGTAGGAATGCAGGAAAGTTGAAGTTWGCCTCTCCTGATGCATAGATATCTACATTTTGTTTGTTTAATATACATTTTCTATGACSTATTACATCACAGCATTTGCAACAGAACTTCAAAATAAGGTCTGGACTTCACAGCTACAGTTTTATCATCTTTATTTTCTGGCTCTGGGTCAGACTCTGGCTCCAACATGTAAGGCTGGATGAACAAATCTTCCCTTGTTGACATCTTTTAATTAATTTTAAAAAAGTGTCTGCACCGCTAAATAGTCTTAAACCCCTCTCTTAAATGGACTTAACCTTGTGTCTTTTGAAAGGGCCATTTTTGTTTTGAATTATATTTTTCCTTACCAATGGAAGTTGGCATTCAAACTTACTTAATCCTGGTCTTAACTCTGCTAGTACTTAAATACTACAATACAATAGTATAGGTTTAAAGTGATTCATTGAGCCTGTGTGACACGAGAACATAGTGCTCATAGTGGACAGTCAGGCATGCTCAATACATATCTTGTATGAATGACATAAAATCAGAGTCCAAGCATCTGAAAGTGAAGAAATRGTTTAAGATAAGGACACGCCTGCAAAGAAAATCAAACAAGCAAAGACAAGTAAACCTTCACTCTGGAAAATGAAATAAATAGATACTTCCCTCCAAATGAAGGGAAAAAAACAATTAAATTGCTACTCTAGTCTCAAATTGGCAGTAAATAAGCATGTTTGCTTCCACCAGCACACACTTTACTTTTCCAAATTCTTGACAAGAACACATTGCACAAGAAGTGCTTATTCACACACAATGATAAACACAGTTGTATGCTTCACTTCCAAACAGTTGGTGCGCCCTCTTTAGCTAGRTTGTAAAGATGCCAGTAGAAATGAATCAGCTTGCAAACCCTTCATTGCCCCATTTCGGTTTTACAGTGAGCCACTTGCACAGAATTCAACAGGTTGCAAAAATTAAGTCGAGCACGATCAGACGGAACAACACTCCTGGTATTGTGAGGTCAGTTGTAGCGCTCAGCTCTTGTTCTGGCTAATGTCTGTGAACTAGGCCCTACAGCTTCGTGGAGTTCTGGAAGAGCTGCAATCATCCTAATGGGTCTTGTTTTATGGCTGACTGCTTTGACTAACATTTCACTGATACCATCAATGACACATTGCTCTGAATATCCATCTTTGCCTGTTGCTTTGTATCTTTATCTTTGTCATGGCTTTTCAACAAGGTTTTATTGGAAACATCAGACTTATTTAAAAACAGTTCTTTCTTTTTGCTTTTATTGTTTGCCTTATTGTTACTCATTTCTGGCAGAAATATTCTGCTCTTCTTTTCACCCCCTCAGCCGCCTCATGTGTGTATGACAGAAAGAAGAAGAGATAGAGTTGTATTACAATGATAACATCACTAAAGCCGACGGAAACAAGAGTCGTGTTTGGAGGTCTTCATTTGTACTTGGGAGGCAGCCAAGGCTCATTGAATTGGCTGCAAGCAAATGCGTGTGCGTGTGCACAGACTACCTTTGAAACACTTGTTACAACACATGGTTTTCCACTCATACGTGGACACACTATCAGTCTTAAGACAAAGGGAAAAAACACCCACGCGGAACGATTGTTGCATGCAGGCACACACATGCTCCTCTTTAGAATCTCATTAAAACCGAATTGGAAATTAAGTTAGTGAAACAATCTAAATCCAGTTCCAGCAGTTACAATTAGACGAACCTGAACTCGCCAAAGGCTTTACCATACAAGGAGTACATCTTTGTGTTTACATGTTGTTCTTATTACAGCATACTCTGTCTGCGGCAAGACTTCTCATACAGCTTCCATTTAATGCAGAGAAAATGTGTTGTTGACTTTGTTTTTTTACTTTAAATATATCAAGATAATTTATTACACAATGTTACAATTAATAGGCTAAAAATGAAGTAGCTTGTAGCATGTTCTGTTGCCATGTTGTGATGGATTGCTTTTCACCTTATTTCTCAACCAATCCCATATTGTCAAATTTATGATCATGCATATATTTCAGAAAGAACAGAATAAAAATAATTGCAGAATCAGATATCACACGAATACACACAATAATGTGGAGGAACAGGTAATATTTCACAAAACCTCCTCATGTGAGCCTTCATTTGGTTTTAGTGCAAACAAATCTTAAACAAAAAAGAACAAAACAAACATGTATGAAAATTGGCCATACTATCATAAAACTAAACAAATAAAATGAACTTAATTGAGGCAACTACTTAGACTGTGATGCAAACCCTATAAAAAACACAAATATGAGAAAAACAAGATTGAACACAGCATGGCCTTTAACCAAAGTGTTTTTAAAAATGTATACCATTTTAGAAACATATGTACAGCACAAGTTGTTTTTAGTTAAATTATAAAATTTGGATACTTTGTTTTTGCCTAATTCAGATTTTCAAATCTGTAATTACTGCAGTGTGTCTTCGACACGATCTCCAAAAGTTGCTCTCCAGCCCTTTTCTGTAAGTCCACCACTAACCCAACATACTCAAGAGCGAGCGCTTTCAACTGAGCCGCCGAACACTTCAAATCTCCACATGTGGGAATCGAACTGTGATGATGTTTGCTCTAGACACGCACACCCACCCCACTCCGTTTCAACAGGACGGGCCATTTCCATGACAAAAGACAATTATTGACTTTCATTGGCTCTGCTTGCTTTGATATCAGCTAGGGGTGTGTCTGTGTGTCTCTGTGTGCAGGAGGGGGCGGGTTAGGGGACCGCAGTGGTGAAGTAGAAGAAACGGGGGACCTGATGAAAGGAGCCGAGTGGGAAAATGCACCCACTGACCCGCTAACAGAAGTGAACGCTCAAAGCAGAAAGAAAAAAAATCAGTTTGTTAGTTATTTTTTGCATTCTTTCTGGTTTTTTAGTTATTTTTTCCCAATCCAATCCCCTCCACCTTTCCTGTTGCTACCCCTGTCCTATTATTGATGTACATATATATGACAGATCCTCCTCTTCACCCCCACCTCCTCGCCTTTCTCCACCTCCCTTCATGACCATAATTTAAGGGGCTGAAAGGCATGGCAAGCTGAAAAAAAAAGAGGGGGGGGGGGCTGAGAAAAAGGGGAGACCCTGCAGATGAGGGGCTTTCCTTCACGGACATGGCACAGATGTGAGGGTGTTTTTGTGAAGTGAGTCGGGGAGGGGCGGCGATAGGCTAATTTGTGTGGCATAAAGACGGGGCCCTTTTCATATGCAGAGCGCCACTTTGATGCGCGGCTCATGAAAGCTGGAGGGAGAGCAGAAGAGAGGTTGACGGAGGGGTTCTTTGTCCCGCCACAAGAAGGCATCTGCTCCGCGCAGCCCTCCTCTCCTCGGCTGCACCGAGGATCCCACAATGGGACAGCCGAGAGGGAGAGTTGTCATCAGGGCACCTTAGAGTATGGAAGTTTAAAAGAAAAAGAAAAGAAAAAGAAAAAAAGTTGCTTTCCTGATTGCCATCCCGGCATGCGTATCAAAAACAAATTTATTTGATTAAAATTCAGTGCAGATGATCACATATTGTACACAGATTCYCACTTAATTGTAAAAACGTGCAGCCGTTTTATGAACACCAATTACATTATTCCACAGCTGATGAAACACATCTTCCTTTGACTGATTGCTCCCTTTGAGAAACAAGTAAACCATGAAAAATCACCCCCCCCCCCACACACCCCCAATGGGAATTAAGTTCAGTAGAAGTAAAGTTATGCATGTGTTTGTGTGTGGGAGTCCTCAGTCTCTGTGTGTGGACTGTACAACTTTTTTTAAGTGTGTGTGTGCTCTTTCACTGCTTGTTATTGTGGGCTCACCAGGGTTCAACCCCCAAAACTGCCTGATTTATCACTCACACAAAAGCTGAACCTGTGCAGCAAAGCAGCGAACGTTTTTGCAGAAAATATACGTAGACTAAATATATGGACTGAATGCAACACTTAAAATGTCTATTCATTTTATTTAAACCCAAAAGCTGCTTTTCGGGATTGAAAATGCATGTGATGTTACTTTTGTTCGTCAGTTTGAAACAGTCTACTGTATGTACCATATTTATTTGATTTTGCTGGAGCGACTGTGACAAACCCATTTGGGATTAGTGACTTTAAAAAAACATACAAAACTAAATAAACAGATGTACAGACATAAAGAAAACAAATCTAAATGTATTTTTACAGTCATCTTTAGTAAAATTGTTCTACATATAAGAGATACTTTTTTCATTTTACATCAGGTGCAAATAATTGTTGTTGTTCCATTCTAGGTGATCTTTGCCCTGAACCAGACCTTACTACAGCAGGAGTCTTTAAGAGCAGGAAGCCTACAGGTCCCATACACAACCGAGGACCTCATCAGGCACTACAACTGTGGAGATCTCAACTCCATCATCTTTAATCATGATACCTCGCAGGTTAGAACTGTTTAAAGAATCTTGTCTTATATTACCTTTTCTCTACTCAAAAAACATCATTTTGATGTCTTGAAAATCTTATTTTTTTCACTCTTATGGCTGAATCGAAATACTACCCCTGCAACTGAAGGTCCCTAACTTCAACAATGTGACGCTGCCTCCCAGCGAGCAGGTGACGGCCCAGGAAATAGACAGCTACTTCCGACAGGAGCTCATTTACAAGAGGAATGAGAGGATGGGCAAGAGGGTCAAGGCACTGCTTGAGGAGCACCCTGATAAGAGCTTCTTCTTCGCCTTTGGTGCAGGTTGGTTCTTGTGAATAATAKCTAAGAACTGCATGAAGGAATAAAAAAAATCTTTGGGTTGACTTTATGCAGCTTAATAGTTTGTGACTGTGCAGACAGCATGATGACAATGCATAGCCAATGATAAAACCTCAACTGGTAAGATGGCACCAAGAATAAAGAAAGTTTTATGATTATGTGCAGAGAAAAATAAGTAAAATGCATGGGATAATGAAGATAATGAGTTATTCATATCTGCACACTTAAACACCCTGGAACTACAAAAAAACAATCAGCCAAAACAATGCTTTGGACAAATGCTGTGAATTTCTTTTAGACTTATTCAAACTTTTCTCTGTAATACATGGTGGACAAACCAGCACAATATTGCCACCGTTTGGACTGGAGCTCACTAAGGTACTTTATATTGACAAGAGGTGTCACGCTCGCTTTAGAAGACTGACTTCTGGGGCACGAGCGTCACACCATAGTGGAAGAGGCAGGATGTCAATAGCTATGTTTACATTGACATAAGTAATCAGAACAAATGGGCCGATTGAAATTAAAAAGCATCATGTAAACGCTCCAATAGGAATATCCTGATCTGATTCAGATCAGAATGAAACTGTTATGGTTTGTCTGGGTTCTTGTGTTATTTTGGTTCCAGTCTGGTTTTCTTTCTTGTCCCTCTCTGTTGACCCCCTCCTGCCTGTCTTTGCTCCAGCCCCGCCCACTCTCACCTGTTCCTCATGTTTCTCTCCCAGGTGTTTCTTGTTTCTGCTCGTTAGTTCTGCTTTATATTCTGTCTTCAGTCTTTGTCAGATCTTTGTTCCCTGTTGATGTTTTTTGTCTCATGCCAAGTCCTTGTATTTATTTTTGCTGCCATGTCAGCGCTTTGTTTTTGTTTAATACTGTAAATACAATTTTGCCACCTTCACTTAGTCTTGCATCTGGGGTTCTAATCAAACAAGCCCAAATCGTAACAGAAACTGTAATCTGAATGAGAGGGGTGGTTTATGCTGATTAATAATCTGAACAGGGTCCATGTAATCACTTACTCTGATCATGTTATTCTGGTTGTAGGAAATGGACATGACTGTGCATGTGCACCCTATGTCAATTTGACTTATTTCCAACTATATGCTAACATGTCAGGAAGTCAAATTGGTCAGTTAGCGATATAAATATAATGTTAGAAACTTTGACAGAGCTCAAAATGATCACACACTTTGATGGTCAAAAGTGTAGGAACATAGAGTGCAGTAATGTCATCACCAATATTAAAACCTGGCACGTGTCCTTTTTAGGTTCTCAGAAGACAATGTTTGTTTATGTTCATCCTGGAAGTAAAACTTCAATGTTTTTTTTAGCAAAGGTACATGATCAGATTAATAAATTTMTGCCCATAAATATGAAACATTCAGATTATTTAATCCAAATACTTTTCAATCCGATCAAAGAATTGTGCACATATAAACATAGCTAATGTGAACAATTTATTATGGCTAGATTTCTGCATAGAATTTCATATTAGTATTAGTTTTTCATTGGTTATCTTCTGCCTATTAGAAACATTCATTACAGAATTGTATACCTTSGCAACATCCATCCATCCATCCATTTTCTGTACACGCTTCTTCCTTTTCAGGGTTGCGTGGGTCACTGGTGCCCATATCCAGCAGTCACAGTGCGAGGGGCGGGGTACACCCTGGACAGGTCGCAAGTCCATCACAGGGKCACACATAGAGACAAACAACCATTCACTCCCTCACTCACACCTAGGGACAATTTAGACTTATCATTTAACCTAACAGTCATGTTTTTGGTCTGTGGGAGGAAGCCGGAGTACCCGGAGAGAACCCACGCATGCACGGAGAAAACATGCAAACTCTACCCAGWAAGGTCCCCGGACCGGGATTTGAACCGGTGACCTTCTTGCTGAGAGGCATCAGCTCTACCAACTGAGCCACCGTGCCAACCTTGGCAACATMTTTTTAACTAATATCAAGGGTAGACATAACCATTTTTTAGGTTGTCCGAGACAACTTATTTTCATTTCGGACAACCAGATCCTGTCTCCTGGTTGTCAGGTGGACAACCAAGAAAAAAAAGWCCTTGATTAAAGTTCTCTGCTGCAGGTGTCCATCGTTTTGTAAAAAAATGAAAGGTAGAAAAAACTTGGTAAAGCCGAACAGAACACTAAACTGTAACTTTTAATAAGGTCATGTACACAGTACACTCCTGTTTAAATGAAAATGTTTGACCTAAGAGCAGAAAGAAGTTTATGAATGTTGGGTAACCTCTAGATTTTATTAGCAACATTTTTGCTGCTTTACTCCCRGACCCTTAAATACTCTATTCCAAAGAAGAGAATGAGGAAGTTTTATTCARGCTGATCCTGTCAACCTGGCTGCTTGAGAACAGTTATGTATAATAAACTTTTTCTACAGAAAAATATACTTGTTAAATTAAAAATTTCTTGAGATTCTTTTGGACAACCAAAATGTTTTGCGGACAACCAGGTTTTGTCAACAGGTTGTCCGCTGGACAACCTTAAAAATATCCTTTTTCTACGAAATCAAAATAATGGTTGTCACTAGTAAACTGAGTCTCATTGATGTGCTGACCTAAATTAATCATGTCATGGATAACACATAAGTTTGTTGAGTTGTCCTTGTCCTGAACAATATGGRTGCTCTCTCCAACCATMAAAAGTCATCTGARAGRGCCTTTAGGAAATAAAACTCATTGGTTAAACAATAAATCCATGAGTTGGATACTTTGGCAGAAATGTAAAAGCTATGCCATGCACGCACATCTGCACAGTCTCAAATGTTTTGAGTACATGAACACAGAAATCATGTTGAAGCCTCGATTCCTCTTCATCAGATCTCAATCTCTGAAGTCTTCTCTGGTCATTTCCAAAGAGAAAAGTAGTGAGAATTTAGTAGAAAGAGAGACCTTCACAGTCTGCTGGTTTCTGGACTGACAGGAAACAGCTGAAGAAAAGCAGACACGCACGCACTAAGACACGCACACACGCGCGTACTCACACACATACACAAGTCCTAACAAGGAGTACATTTCACAGTGTGTCCCTTAGGAGGTGCCTTTACAAGGGCTTGGTCTCTAAAGGTGTGTGCTTCTGTGTGTATTTATGTGTGTGTGTGAGCTGGTGAGTGAAAGTGATACGGCCAATCAGCCCAGAAGCACAACTCCGAGACATGCGGAGGGCAGGTTAGGTCGACATGTACGCGAAATGGGATGGGGCGCGTTAGGGTGCACACACACACACACATACACATAAAGACCCCAGCCAGGAGTCATTCCCAAAACCAACCTTGGTAAAATGTGTCCTTAATTATACCTCGAAGGGTCAGAGGACACACACATCTATACGCACACATGCACACAGAGCCACAAAATACAATGGAGCCCATTGTCAGCARACTCACTTCCCTGTTAGGATCAGCTGTGAGACTTATCAGTGACCATCTCATGTCCTCCTTGAATGAGTACAAAAGGATGTCTCAACAGATTAAAGGCTCAATTATTTTCTACTCTGCTTTTACCGAAGTGTCACCACAACTTGCTCCCAGTAACYAGACTCTGGGAAAGAGCTGGACTTGTCCCCCATAACTACTTGCAATGCATTCAGTCTAACCACCAGATCAGATTGAAAGGAAATAGCGTTGTGCTGTTTGAAGATGCAGAAGCATATTGAACATTTTTCTCCTCCTAAGTAATGATCGCATTAACTTGCACGAGTTAGCCTGCAGATTCCTGACTGATGCTATGTGGAAAATTGCTGTGGGCTATCTTTTTTTTTGCCTTCAGCAAGCTTTTTTTTTGCCACAACAACTTAACAAAAATGTTTATACATGATCATTTATTTCTTGTCAAGCGGCCAAGTTTGAAACAGACAAGGGTTTGCCAAAGAAAACTGAAGATATAAAAAGCTTTTGGGGGTTCCCTGGTATTTTGTGTTTATGGAAGCTGACACAAAAACTTTGAGTGTGTTGCAGAGACGATTTGTTTTTGTTAATATATTTTTTATATATGTTTTGAATATGTCATTGCATAAAAAAAGCTTTAAAATAGAGTTATAAATTCAGCATTAATTACTTTGTATTGATAGTAATTAGTCATTTCAAAAAATGTGAGGGATATGGAATGATAAAATAAATTTTTGATTGAGAAGCAGTTAGCAAAAATAGAAATGRATACATTACAGGAGCTGCAATGTAACTGTGGTTATGGTTTTTACATGTGCACAAAGCAAAACTATAGGTAAAAAGATAGATTTTGAACCCCGTTTTATTTCTTTTAAACAAAAAAACCCCTAAGAATCTAGAGTGCTGAACGTGAAATGAAGTCCTTACATAAGAAATCAAATAATTTGATTTGTCAGATCAAATTTGAAAAGCAGCCTTGCATTAATTTAAGATATTAACTTATCCATTACGATATACATTTCCAAATATTCTGTGATATTAGACTATTTAGTTTTTATTTTTCTGCCTTGAAGTTCCTTTTGGGATTTGTCTTTTCCTAATATACAATGAAGTCCTGTAAATAAATACCTCCATGAAATCCCAGTCTCTCTAGCTGCTCCAYTTTGTTATCTAACCCCACCCATTACTCAGCATAGATGAAAACATGAACAGCAGTGCCTTACTTTCAGTGAGTCATATGAAAACAATTATTACTATATCTGGTACAGTAATTTAATTCACGCATACTATCTGACTCCATGTCCCCTCTGCCATACTCCAGCACTGTTGAATTCTGTATAATAATGTGTTTACATATTGCCGAAGGGCCAGAGGCTCCGTTTCTGCCGCTCCCTAAAATGAATTTTTCTCTCCGGGCTGAACTTGCATAAATCTGTGCTTTTTCCCCCCGAATCTGCTTAGCACACCACGATTCTCCTCAAACTCCGCTCCAAACCACAAATTTAAATGTTTGTGGCAGCGTAATTGCCAGTGTGGTTGACAAGCTCTAACAGTTACTGCATTTTA